TTTTGCGCACACACACCTCACACAGTGTATTACCACTGCGCACGCATTGTTTTCTTTACCGTACAAAAGTCTTGTTTCCATAGCAAACACACCCTGGGAAGACATGACACACTTTTCAGCTTTTGCCTTTCAACAAATGTGCCACCACCGGCGCATATTCCACCCATTATGCAACAACAGAACATTATGTAATCTCCCACAAAAAAGAAAGAAAAATAAATAAAAACTTTGCCCAAAACACTGCTCCAAACATTCGCATCATTAGGCCCTCCATATGGCGACGACTGACTCACCATGCTTTTGTGTTATTTGTTAATGGGAAATATGGTGTTTTGCAGAAGCTGAGAATGTCTGCATTGCGTCACAGCGGGAGAGAGCAGAGGGGGAAAAATGGAGGAGAGAGGAAAGCAGGGGCACCGCTAGGGGAGAGGGGTGTGTCTTCACTGACCTACATTCAGACACCCCACCCCAGCGCACCCCACCCGCCTAGGCAGACTGACGTGTAAAGGGCACTTTGAAAACCAGCTGCAGACATGGCAAGTATATTAAACAAACACCCAGTAACAAAGCACTGCAATAGAAAGATTAAATGTGTAATATTGTACAACTATGTCGCAAGTCACTGTAAATCTCCATGCATTACCTCTGTAAATTGAGAAATATACTTGGTTCTAGAGCCCGACCGATATGGATTTTGCTGTGGCCGATATGAAACCAATATAATGGAAGTTGGAGCTGCCGATAGCCAATATAATCACCGATATATTTAGTGATGTAAAAATTCACTGTAAATGTTGAATTGTTTAAAAAACTTAGGTTTGGCTCTGGTGGATTTTAAATTGGGTTTATTTAGGCAACATTTATTGTTATTCTGCCTCTTTACATCATATTTACAGACAGTAGGTTGACTTAATGGCATTTTTGCATCACATTCTAGACACTAGTGATGGGTATTCCAGTTCTTTTTAGAGAACCGGCTCTTTTGGCTCGGCTCACTAAAAGCTGCTGGTTCTTTTGGCTCCCAAGTGGCTCTTCAGATTGTTTTGTTGCAAGCAGGACTGAATCAGGACTGAACCAGGTCTAAACCAGGACTGAAAAAGGACTAAACCGGGACTTATTTATTTTATGCTAAACTACAGTCAAATATGCTCGTTTTTTTATTTTTATTTTTTTTAATCCTACGTACAGGTAAATTTCTCAAAGTTTCGTTTTTAGCCGCTGTCAAACCACGAATCTGCACGCGGCGTGAAGAGAAAAAAAGTGAGAGAAAGAGAAAACACGGCTCCCAATAAGGATCAGGCTCCCGTCGTTCCCTTCAAAGAGCCGGTTCTAAGAGTCATTTCGTTCGCGACGGACCCATAACTAGTAAAGAAAGTAGCGCTATTAGCCTTTAGCCGTAAATACGTGCGCGCCGCGGTAATTAATTATATGCGCAAATGTCATAATTCACAAGTCTGTTCACAGCTCATTTACATATCAGTGCAGGTCCAGTAGTAAATATACGGCCAATATAGTCACTTTAGAACAGACCAATAGAAAACAGTCTGTTTATGTGCGGGAGCTACAGCAGCTAACCCATGACAAATGACAAAAACTAGCTTCAGAGTCGACATATTTCCAACACTCACCGCTCATACAGGCTCCTCCTCACATCACAAATCTGCACTAATAAATGTCCTTTTAATCCAGACTCAAACCGATTGTCCGTAAAAAGAATATAATGTCAGTGTTTGGATCTGTGTCTGCGGATGTAAACAAACACACGTGAGTGACGCGACTCTGTGGTGTGTTCAGGGACAGTACGGACACACACAGACAAATGACTCCGTAGATAAATACTGATGTGGAGCCACATATTAGGACATTTATCTGTCTGTAAATTGGATTAAATGAACAGAATGTAGAGAGTCTAAGCTTTATAACGAGGTATAACATGCCCACGTGAAATATCGGCCCCTATCAGCAAGCAACTTTAGGCATATCGGCCGATAGCCGATATGCCTAAAGTTGCCCATATCAGCCGATAATATCGGCCAACCTATATATCGGTCGGGCTCTACTTGGTTCCAACCTAATGTAGTGCTTTTTTCAATTCTACTGGACATAGGTTGGTCCTGAGTAAGACCTGGTTGAGATCCTGTTTAGACATTAGTCGTGATGTATTTGCAGTTTAGTGCAACTTAAATGTGCCCTATGTAACTTTTGAACTGAAAGAGAGTCTGACACCTGCTTGTCTCTGTGGAGATGTTATTGCTTTGCTTGAAATGTTCAGTAAGGTATTAAATGTTCTATCTAGTGTTTTGCTGCTCACAAAGAATCTTAAAAATATACTGATTTGGTGCTTTATCACCTGCTTTATACTATTAAAAAAGATACATTTTTACATAGAGTGGAACAATCCATGGCAACTCTATGGAGTGGCAGACCCATCACCAGAAAAGTTATGTAGTGCACCTTTAATTCCGTGTTTAAGTTGCATTCAGTCCTGCCTGCGAAATAGTCTTTATCCTTTGTTTAGTCTGGTCTTACTTCTGATTGCATTTGAAGCTGTTTTTAGTCCTGTATTATTAATATATGAAAGATTTGTGGTTTTCATTTCACCTGTCCGAATTTTGCTGACCATATTGTTATTGTACTATTTACCACAGTTATCGCATAGTGCTTATTTCTCTGTAATGCAGCTTACATTAGATTTGATCAGACTTGGGAACTATGTGAGTGAAAACAGCAAAAGCCTGGAGGGTTCTCTCAAAAATGAATACAACAACAGACTGCACCGAAACACTTAATCCTCTCATTTCCTGTGCTATATTATACTCTGCCCTTCATGCTGAGGACAACGCAGATGCAGTTTTTAATAAAGTGGGCTGGAAAAGCAATAAAAACACAAGCTGAGATTAGTAATAGGAATAGCCCACACTAATATGGTGCTGTAGCTTGATGGTTTTGTGATGACTTTAATACCTTTTTCACCACTGAGCAGCAAAGGCTATGTAATGAATCAAATTAGCCTTGCATAACATTCATAAAACTCCTATTGATACGCACAGGATTATTGCTTTAGCTTTATAACTACTTAAAATATACAGTACAGACAATATTGATCAGTTCTACGCGATCAAAAGCAACTGAATTACTTGCGTTTTTAGTCTGTTTCAAATGCATTTTTAAAGAATTTACAATGCTCCGTCATATAACAAGCCCTTCCCAGCTGAATATAATTATGTCAGTCTGTTTCCAAGGAATGATCAACACAACAAATCTTAGCATTGTAATTTTCCTATTACACGAAATTCCTCTTTGCACTGTCCTACTTTTTTTTTTTACTTATTGGAGTGTATGTTGTAAATTACTTGCAGTTTGGTCTGGTTTGGTTCTTTAATGATTATTTTCTACCAAGGGTTTTTGTCTGGTAGTAATGAATACACTAAGGTTGTCTTTAGGGATGGGACAATAAACAATAATATAATTTATCGTGATAAAAATGGAGGACAGTAATCATTCATGCAATATTTTATATAATCATGATAATCGCCAACAAAGATAATCACCATAAATTATCAGAATGTGCAGAAAAACAGATACTTGTCCATGATGTTTTCTTCTAGATCATTATTGTTTTCACTTTCATTAACAAAGTACAACACTATCATAGTTCATATCCATAACATTTTTAAACTGTCAGCAACTTTCATAATTATCATGATATAAGTGTTAATTGCCTAGTTGTCTTTTGGTCTAACAAGAATGGAGGGATTATAAGAATGATAAAATGCTGCAGAGGAACTGGATTTTTTTGTAAATAAACCCAGCGAGACCTGATGGAGATGGTCTGTACAAAAAGTTGTTGAACTCAGAGTTGCTAGGTAGGAGGTTCAGAGGAAGACCAGCAAGTTTTATGGATGTTGTGAAGAGAGACATGAATATTAGGTGCAGTGGATTTGATGGAGATAGAGGCTGGTTATTCACTGTAAATACCCCTGAAAATAGAACACATATATCCATTCTACATTAGTTACTAGCTATAGTCCATAGTCCACTAATGTGTAAAAAACATTGTTGATCATAATATTGTTATCATTGTGTTTCCTATTATTACATGTTTTAATACTCCTCATTTCAGACTGCAGTCAGGAAGTTGACAAGTCATTTGACATTTTTGCTCTACACAGAATAATACGCTCTCTGGTGTATTTTCGCTGTAAAACCACAGCCTTTCTAATTTAGTTATGTTCTTCCTGTTCTGAAATCTTATATAAATGTTGTTACTGTGTTTTTACTATGTAATTTATCACAAATTTGTTTGAAAAAAACATTACTAAACACCCTACTGACACTTAAAAATAGATAGACAAATAGACAATTAGTTTTGAATTGTCATGATTTCGGGATCTGTGTTGTGACTCACTTTGCCTCTGACATAAACAAATGAATCACAACTGGACAAACAACATGCAGTTATTGAAAGAACAGTAAGACAAAGCCGCTTATACAACACACGGAAAATGCTTTCATGCAGCGTGCTTTGACGTGTTTTCATGAAAAAATGTTTTACGTAAATACAAAAGATATGCTAAATTGGACAACTCTGAAAAAAAATTATTTTAGCAAATAAAACAACAGGTTTCTTAATACTATGTTTTTGTTTCCATCAGATACAGATTACAAGTAGGCTGCATGAAATACATTTATTTTGTTTTTCCCTTAAGCTTTGCTCTTTTCAGTCCTGAGCTTTCGTCTTTGAGGCAATTGGAACTGTGCTATTTCCTCCAGAATTCTGCAGAAGCAAAAATAGCAAATGCATTAAAAAGATCAGTCATGAAGTTTGGGCAAATTGAGCTCTATCAATATTTTTCACTCCACATATTTATGGACCACACAGAAAAATAAAAGAATTAGTAAACGATCACAGAACTTTTGGACTTCTGGGAACTGAATCTGCTTTACGTCAAAGAAACAAACTCAACCGATACACCACTGACACATAGCACGCTAACCACTTTATGACAGGAAGTATATGCTGCCGTATCTGGGGGGAACCATAATCTTTGTATCTGGATAGCAGCAACTTTGATGGTAAGACAACGTTTACTAAAAATATATGTTATATATTTGTTTTATTAGCCAATTATTATCATGTAGTATGTATTTCTATATATCCAGGCTAAGACGGACCCTTTCAGTGTACCATCCATTGAAATGAACAAATATTACTCTATAATGGTCATGGTTTGGATTAAGATTAGAAGTGTGATTTTTAAGTGTTTAAGTGTTCTGTTGCAATGTGAAACAAACATTTCTCTATGAGTGTGTAAATGCATCAATATAAAAAAATAAAATAAAATAAAAAGAGAAATACAATGCTGTCATCCACTCTGCTTAATGTTGTGCCATTAACACATTGTCACTTTGAGCAGACGGTCCAACATGTGCATGAATACCACCTCTGAGTGCAGAGTGGACACTCTGCAAGGCATGGGCTTTGCCTTCCTTTTCTTCCCGGGGATCCTACTGCACATCGCTGCTTTTTGCGCTTTCTCCAAGCTGGGCTCATGGACAGACACCCACATCTACATGTTCAATCTGGCCTTAGCCGACTCCATCCTCATCGTCTTCCTTCCCTTCAGGATCTATGATGCCTTTAGATGCATACCCAAGAACCTCCTGTGCACGTTTCTTTTCAACTTGCATTTCCTCAACATGTACGCCAGCATCCTGACCATAACTGCCATCAGTGTGCACAGGTACCTGGCCGTGAGGTTCCCAATCCATGCTAGAGTCTGGAGGAGGAAGAAGGAGACAGCAGGCGCTGTGTGCTTGATCATCTGGGGGTTACTGATAACTGTATGTGTTGTGTTCAGAGAGGAAAACATGCCTGACAAACTCTGGACTTGTTATGAAAGACGCAAGGATGAACCTCTCCATCTTGGCTTTATGCTCCTGCTGCTTCTTGCAGGCTTCCTTCTTCCATTGTTTATAATAGTGTTTTGTTCAAGTCAGATTATCTACACTTTGCTCAAACTTAATGATGAAACACAGGAGAGGAAAGGCATTATAGGAATAGTGACAGCTAATCTGGTTATCTTTGTGTTGTGTTTTACTCCAATAAATGTGGGCTACATAGTGAACTACCTGAATGAGGTGCCTGAAGACTGGCAGTGCAAGTCCGTACTCGCACACCAATACTTAATGGTTTCTGAGTGGATTGCTTCAACCAACTGCTGCTTTGATTCCATCAGCTATTACTTTCTTCTCAAACATTTTTATTCTAAGCAGTGATTTTTATCTAATTATTATTTGTAGATTCCTTAATAGAGATATTCATAGTGTTCAGTAGTTTAATTGTTCTTGTTGTTCAAATTATAAAATATTGTTTCTCACAATGTGGCCCCTATGTATGTTTGGTGAGGAAAATGTGAAATGAAATTTAATGTATTGATGTTTTTTTTTTTTTTACTACATCTGTCATAATTTGTTTTTAGAAGTACTGTGGCCAAGAGTCTAACCTTTATTTGACCTTACTGCTCTCTGTGAGATGTTCAAAGCAGACAGCAAAAGGCCATACTCATTTTTAACTCCCGTTCAAAGAGTGGTCTCGCCCGGTCTCAGACAGGCATTCAGTGGCCAGTCAATGCGCAGACCCCTGTGGGTGATCTGATCAATCTGAGGCCAAATGGAGCAGAGCCAGTGTGCATCTCCCTCTAGTGGCGACCATGTAGATTTATGCTTATACTGCGGTAATGCCTTAAGTAAAGGCTGAGAAAATAGAAATACTATCATAATCTTTTTGGTTTCTTACAGTAAGATAACATAAAATGTGCAAATTCCCCTCTGCTAGTCACTAGCTGTTCACTGAGCATCCAATTAAACATAACGTATTGCCTCAATGATTTGCACTTGTGATTGGTTTGAAGCTTCAGAGACATTGAGTGTGTGTATGTGCACATTGTGTGTATTCATGTGTATAGGATACGCCTTCTTTTTTAGCAACAGGCATGACAACATCAGCAGTCAATTATATAATGCCATTTAATAGCAATACTCCAAAGATTTATGATTATTATAACAGCAGTATCTTAGCAACTGTGAATGACAGAAAAAAGGGAAATTCGGCAGGCATCACTGAAATGAGAAGACTCAGTTCTGTCTGAGATCTCTACACTAAGAACAGGGAATAGCTGAGCTCAGCAGCCAGCCCGTAAATAGTTTACATACATCTTATTCACAGCCAAATAAAAATGCACATCAGGACTAGAGTCCCTTCTGAGGAGAGCAACAGTGAGCCCTGAAAACCCAACAATGACATATCTCCTATTTACACTATTTACACATCAAACACAACAGCCTCATTCCAATGTAAAAAGAAAAAAAATGGTTTTGTGCTTTTGCTTATTACTGCACAGTAAAATGACAAAAGTAATAGTTACATTCATTCAATTGAGATGCTGAAAAATTACTTTCAAGATCCCCCAGTATGGCAGTACAATCACTGGAGTGGAAAAGTTGATGTATAAGACATTATGATACACAGTGTTCCCTCACAGCATTACAATCAGTTTGAAGGTTTGCTCAAAAACACACACTTGTAAATCAAAATCAATACAAACTTTAAAAGAAATATTTCAAGTTAGCAGTAAATACAATTACATTTACAGTCTATAATGCATCAAAGTAATTAATGAGCAAACCCTCAAAAATGGCATTCAGTGTCATTGGCATAAGGACAATGGGAGCTGAGATGAGACTTAACAGTACAAGCTGGCATCAGGAAATAACAGAAACAGCCCAAAGGCATATATAATCACTAATACTGCAAGTGGTGATATGGGAATTGCAGTCAGACCACAATTCAAATGGTTTATGGCACTTAACTTCTTGAGGAATCAGTCAACAGTCACCAATTGTAAATGATTTTGGCACACATAAGAGAGTAATTAATTATCAATGCTTGTTAGTGCTTATAAGCAAAATAAATAATTTGACATTGACAAAATAATGTGGTATTTGTTTGCAAGTTAATGCCTGATATGAATGTATGCTTGCTCTAGGCTTACATTATCAGTTTATCTAATGTAAAGTGTATATACAGAAAACTATATATTGCTCACTGTTAATATGAAGCTAGTGTTGCTGCTCCTTATTCATTGCCTAATGTGGCTGCTTGGTCCAGTCTCTGTTTATGACTCCCATCTCCTCAGACTGTTGTGTTGATCTAAACATGCAGCATTTCATACAGCGCTGGACACTTTGATGAGCTCAATATATAGTCCCATTTCTCTGCTGGGTACACTTGCATTACCTTTATTAGCTTTGTGTTGGCTTCATCCTCTGACACCATTCCTTTCTTATCTGTGAGACCTTGACCCACAGTGCCTTACAGTGGAATAAATGAGACCATGTTGCACACATTTTAACAGTTTATGAATAAATGTATACACTTATAGCCCCTCTGCAGCATATGACAAAGTGTTCATAGTGCATTGCAGTAAATATCCTTTTGTTCCACTTCTCTGTGTACATGTCCATGTGGAATTACAAGTCTTTAAGAGTACATGGAGTGGAAGGGAGAGAGTGACTGAGGCACACAAAAACAGAGATGGACGTTTCAGATGTACAGCAGCAGAAAATCTGCTGACATTTCAGAGCTGCAGTCAGCTCTGAGTTACAGCCTCACATCCCAGGAGGCAGGTTAGAGGCAGTTATATGTCTACCCCTCCATAGTACATACCTGTGTACAAATGTGTATAAAGTGTTTGAAAAAGGCTCTGTTTGAAAAAGACCATATGCTAGGTAACAGGTCACAGGAGTTTGACATAATTCAACTTAATTAGATGTTTTTCAGAATTACTCATTTGACTTCAAGTACCTACTTGGAGACCATGCCAAAGGGGCAATACTGGAGAACAGATGGGTGATACTGTTGTTAATGTTATCCACAAGGAGAGAAGCCTCTTAGAAGTGCCTCTGCAGGCATACTTTATGTACAGAGACTGAGGACTTGACTGTCTATCCACATCTTTATATCCTCCCCTCCCTCTTCGTCACCCCTCTCTCCTCTCCTGTGCTGCTGGAGCCAGGGAGAGTAGCAGCTCTGCAATGCAGACACAGCAACAACCTCAGCCCATCTGACCAATTAGTGTGAGCCTGGATATGAGTGGCAGAGCTGAGAGCCAGTCACAGTCACGGAGCGATACAAGAGGCCAGGGGCTGAATGGCAATGACATAAACAAAAGGAGGGGGTCAGAGACACTGCACTGGTCCCTCTTAAGTCACTGTCCATTCTGAGTCCTGTCATTACAGCTCTTCTTCATCAAATGGCTCAAGTCCATAAAGTCGGTCAGCTCGCCCCGCTCTAGCGCCCCCCGTATGAGCGCTCTGCTCAGGGCAGGAGTATGCTGCTGGGACACATAGGCCTGGCTGCTGGGGGCTGGCATTGTGGGGGGTGGTAGAGGAACAGGAACCATGCCGTGACTGCTCAAGATATATCCCTCCTGTGGCCAGCGAACAGGCAGAGGCTCGCTATACTCCATTGGGCTGGGTGCACTGGGGGCAGTTGGGGCACTGGGCGCACTGGGTGCTGATACCACTCTGCGGCGCTCAGGGGAGTCCTGTGGTGTCATAGGATATACATATTCACCTGCAGACTTCCTGAGGGGGGCTTTGGGTGTCCCTTTCAGTGACTTCTCCTGCTTACTAAGGCAGACATAGTGCTGGCGTGGAGTGTCGTTCCCTCTGCCCTCGCTGCTGTGGCGCCCCACACCACCCTGTGGGAACAGTCTGGTGGTCAGGTACACAGAAGGGGGCATACGACAGGGCGAGCCTAAGCCCACCGAGCCCCCTCCCAGGTATGTCTGGCTTGTGTCCCAGCCTCCAGAGTTGGAGTCGGACAGTCGAAGTCCACGTCGCTTCTGTTGGGGAGTGTGTTCTGGTGTGGGCAGGAATCCTGGGTCGAGCTCCCCAGATTTGACCCACCCATTGGGCATGACGAAGAGGGTCTCTCCGCCCTGAGAGCACTGGCGTTCACCTCCAGCTTGGCGCGTGACACTCAGAACTGAGCCACCCATAGCACTGTTTATCAAGCCTCTGTCGCGCCGCTGTAAACTGGACTGAGACCCGGTATGATGTCTTCGGTTGGATGGTTTGTGAGCCATGATCCAGCAGACTGCCAGGCCAGAGAGGGCTGCCCCGATGGTGAACGCTGACACTGCAGATGCCACCAAGAGGTTCAGGGAGACCAGGCTCTCTGGTTCAATCAGCAAACTCTGCTGCAAGATACCTGTGGAATGGATAGACTAGCTTAGTTCATACCAGTTGTAACACAAAACTTAAAAATGACAATACAGGGTCAGGATTTAAAAAGACAAAAGTTGCTACCAATTAAACAGACACTTGAACTTGTACATACAGACAGTTGAATAAAACTGAACAAAATGGAATTGCTGTGTTCATCCACTCTAGGTTTCTGTCCACAGGGTGCCCTTAAACATCATTAATACTTAGGTAGCGGCATCTACTTAGTGCTTCGTAGCGGCATCTACTTAGTGATTTACCCCCACAAGACAAAGGTAGTTTAAAAAAATCAATATCTACAATAACACTCTTAAATGTTGGTCATAATGTGGTGCATTAAGAGTCTATTTTGTGGGATGAGTCTTTATAAGAGGGTCTCTCCAGTCTTGCCTTGAGGCTCCACTGGCTCTGCTTTCTACAGGCCTGTAACTGTCATCAGCTCCCTCCGACCACAGCAGCTGACTCCTCACTCTTTCCAGCCTGCAGCCGGTCACTGAGTGTGTGTCTCTCTCTCCTCTCTCACACAGGGAACCATTACCTCAGTGTTTCCAGCAAGACTTTAATCACTCCCATCTGCAGACACAGCAGCGCAGAGCCACACTTCCACTACAAGCCTATCACTTTTATAATCAGGATAAACGCGAGCAGCCCATATGTCATTGGAAAAGATAGTGTGAGGAAGGTTCACAGTGTGTTTCAATGTGTTTCTCAGGTATTAATCTCACAGGACTGATGTCTTTGAAGCTGACCTACCCCAGTGGTCCTCTCTTAATGTTACGGTGACAATGGAGCCTCTTAACAGAAATTACATTCTTTTTAAAGCTAACCTTGGCCATTCCCCTCACAGACTGTTCTTTTGTTTTGATAGAACAAAGACTTCAGTGGGAGGATGTTACCTTTCATCATCACCATCATTTTAATGCCTGTGCAAGTTGTCACATCTCTTTCACATCCTCTCTAATTAAGCCATCTCTTACTGTGGATAAAATGACCTGTAGGACCCAAAGCCCAAATTGATTCTCATCTGCCACAGTGACACCGATTTCTTTATATGGCAGCTAAGTGACTTGCTATTCAAGATTTAGAAGTCTTCTGTGTAATTAAAACTTGTCTAATTGCAGAAGTTGCCACGTACACGCCCCTGCTCTGGAGCAAGAGGGGCTCATTTAGAGAACAAAATGTTCAGCAGACAGGTGTAGTTATCTATGTAACCACTAGGTGGAGACTACCCTCAGTCCACAGCCCAGCCTGAAGTCCATGTCATAGTGCTGCAACATACCATCACAGTCTCCCAGATGGGAGGTGGTGTTCCCATACTCCACGTCTTGTTGAAATGGGAGCCTGCAGTCACAAAGGCATGCATCAAGGACCAAAAATAACACTTAAACCCAAATTATACAAAACAAAAAAATATATAACTTTTGGGGCAAAGAAACATTCTATGCAATACTATCAATAATATTAACATAGAATGAATGTAAGAAAATATTGATCTGCATAATTGTTTTTTTGTTTTTTTTGCCCCTAACCAGTGCCTTAGGTCAGGGGTTAGGCTTGTACACCTAAGGGGTGACACTTGACATCAATATATTTTATAATACAACATATGATGTGGCACCAGACCTTCTGTATTTCCCAGTAGTATATAGAGCTTTATTGATTCGTTTTGATTATAATCTGTGGTCTTGTGAATTATCCTCTGCATTTTCACTCCACGTGCAATCCTTTTATAAATTACATTTATGTTTCATTTTGTTTATAGCAAAGGAAATGTTGGCATCTGTATTAGTTCTTTGTAAACCAAGTGTATAAATGTCTGTGTCTTTGTGAGTTAGACTATATCTTACCTTGTGCCTGGTCTTAGAAAGGAGCAGGTGCTGCCTCTGGTCCAGCCACAATATGGATCCCTTGAGGCCAGGCAACTTCTGCACATAAAAAATATATGATGTATAATTGAAATAAAGGCTAAGGAATGTACAGAATGTTGGCCTCATTTTCATACTAACACTAAATGAATGAGAAAATATCTGCCTACTGTACTTTCTACAACACAAATTATTCCCTTGTGCTGCAGGCTATAGTCCCGACAAGTAAGATATAAAACAACAGTACACCATACAAGAAAAATAGTTACACCCTTACCAACAAATCTAAAAAACAAACTACAGATCTTGACTTGGATTATTTACTGCTGCCTGGCCTGATGTGTAGTTGCAGTAAAGAAAAGTGTACAAACCTCATGCAGCGTGAGTGAAGATGGCAGCGAGACGTGGGCACTCGGACCAGACACGAGGGAAAGGCCAACAGCAGAGTGTGGCTGGTTCTGTCTAGAGTCAGAGACAGGAGCTGTCGAGCCTGAGGAGAGTCCTCCCCACACCTGTACACAGTTATAACAATAGTATAAAAAACAGACAGCAGGGTCAACAGTAGGTGAAAAAGACCCTAAAATACACCCCTATATTAAAGTAACTGAGAGTCCCAAATCCTCAAGCCTGTGAAATACTAAAAGATATCTCCAGTTACCACCTCAATAGAATGATAATAAAACCTTCATTTTATTTTTTTAATTTTCCAGTATGCATGTGTATTTTAAAGTTGTTGGTAGACATCTTCTATAAATACTAGACTGCATATTAGTGGCATTTAATATTTTCCTTTGAATGTAGAGTGTTAAATAAATAGATCAAATATAACACTATAATAACATAAAAATAAAATCTCTATTAACCATATGTTATTAGGTTCTTTTTTTCAGACCCAGAGTGTTATTTCATACCTGACAGTTTCGACTGCTCACTAGCGTCTTCCTCAGAGTGGTCACGTGATGTTGCTGTGACGTGTCTGGTCAGCTGATTTAAACAGGTTTTGGCGCTGCCTTCCTACCTGTAAACCGGGACGAGGGGGCTTTTTTACTCTCACACACCTGGGATACTGTCCTGAGGAAGTCGGACTGCAGATGGCGCTGTCGTCCTGCCTCCACCAGTAGGAAGGCAGTGCCAAAACCTGTTTAAATCAGCTGACCATACACGTCACAGCAACATCACGTGACCACTCTGAGGAAGACGCTAGTGAGCAGTCGAAACTGTCAGGTATTAAATAACACTCTGGGTCTGAAAAAAAGAACCTAATAACATAGAATATCGGAAAACCAAATGAATCTCATTGGACTATCTATTAACCATAATTTACAGTACTCACTTGTCAGGGTTGAATCCCTCTACCTCCTCCAGAAACACGCTGTTGTGGGAGACTAAATCTCCATTGGGAATCATTAAAAACTTCAAGATGGTTCCTCGGGTTGAGCCCAAAAATAGCACAGTTCTGTTCTTGTGTGGACCTGCTTCTGTGTCCACAACCATTGCTGTCAGCTGGTACCTGGTCACAGACGCATAATTTAGTCCAACTTGTAACATCATATTGAAATGGATGTATGCTACTTACCTCCCCATTGTCTTGACCACCCATGGCCTGTGTCCGAGAAGTGGAACAGTTTCATCCATCAGAGGGTGTGTCTTCACAAAGTTTAGCACCTCATCCGGCAGTGTTGTGGAGGTGCTGAATCTTGATCCCTGCACTGCACATCCTCCTGGTCTGAAAGTCAAAAAACAGCTAAGTCAGCACAGTAGGTTATAAAATATACTCCCAAAATGGTAGTATCTGTTGTACAGTGTCAGTGTAGAAAATGCACTGCAAAGGGAATATACAGTGTGCATGAGTTAAAGGCTTAGGGACAAGCCTATACATTTTTTTGTTTTGTTTTGGTTAGTTACTTAGTTTCAAGGTATTTCTGACACATGCCAGCATACTTATTTCTCATTGCAAGAAAAAAAAAATCATTAGGCATGTCAATACTTGCCAAATTTAGCCTGGAAGACCTAACTTCGCTCACGTCTACCTCACCGCTTCTCCAGGGTTTACCTGCTCCTCAGCCTTCATCATCTCATTCCAAATACTCCTCTACCCTATTTAAACCAATTGTGCCATGCCTCACCTCCTCTCTAGCACCCCCTCGGCTTCTGATCCTCTCATCATCTCCTTCATTTTCCTCGGCTTCAGGAGGAAGACCTCTCCTAAACGTCATCTAATCAGCCAGGCCCTTCATCACAATGTCTTTTGCTGGGGTCTGAGCACCAAACTTAACTCATTCAATAAAACTACTACTACTTTCTCATTGTGTCTGTCTGTCTTCCCAGGTTGAAATACAATTTAGTTGTAAAATCAATATATATATAAAGTAAGTAAAAAAATATGTATAAAATAAAAGTATATATAAAAATAATATATAAAGTTAACAACATAAATCAAATTTCAAGTTAAATATGAATTTGAACTTTTCAGTGTGTGGTGTAAGTGACGATGGAGGATTTTCAATGATGGGAATAAATAGACTCTAGATGAGACAGACACTCCACAGACCAATGCAGAATGTTGCCAAAGCTGCTTACACACTCTTTGCGTATGAATACCTGGGTTTAGGCACGGCCTCATCTGGTACAGGAGTCCAAATTGACTCAGGGGATTTCTGCTCCTTAAAGCGTCCCTCAAAGACATGTGCCAGCTGCTGCATGTCGAACACACACACAGCGGAGCCAGGGATGCTATGGGCACAGAGAGGGAAGAAATATCAGAGGAATTATACTTTTTCATTATTGTATTACCAGAAGGGGGTGGTAACCACTTACATTTACTTTTTCACTACATAATACTTTTAAAAATAGATACCATACATTTTACTTATTAATATTAAAGGTGCACTGTGTAACTTTTCTAATAAGGGGTCCACCAATTGTGTGTGTCCATGGACACACAACAAACCCAGTCCGGTCCCTGGTCGCTTCACTTCCTAAGGGTACTAGGGAGGACCTCAGCTGTGGATCCACTACCCTAGCTCTCCCCCTCAACCCTCCCTTTCTCTAGGTGGCGAGGGGAGGCCTGCAGCTGTGGATCCCTTGCCCACCCAACCATTCACTATCCAGCCCCTTCAAATCAACACTCCCAATAATACACTCCATCTGCTGGCTCCACCCTCACATGTAGACCAACATCTAGGCCACCAGTACGCATGGTACTTTACTGTACTGTACTGTTTTTTGTTTTGTTTTTTTGTTGTTGTTGTTTTTGTGCTATGAATTCATGTATTTTATGAACTGCACTCACTGTGACAGCACTGCATTTAATTTCTGGTTTTATTGTGTCATCTGTAATATATTTGTATATTTAATGCACCTAGCACATTGTGCCCCAGACAAATTTCCCCTGGTGGGACAATAAAGTTTATCTTATTTTACATGTGAAACGATCGTCACTTTAAAAAAAAAAATTGGGCACTAAAGACAAAAGATATAAAACATATACACATACTGTGGCGATTTACTTGTTCTTGAGTAATATTATTCTTAAGTATTAGTGCTCTGGCTCTTCTCCCCCTTCTACCTCATGTTGTAGCTCTTTGTACCTGTTGGGAGGTGTGGAGAATAGGCCCAGGATCACATCTCGGCCCTGCATGTGAATGATGCTGCTGGTAGCGTGCAGCAGGTTGAAGTAGAAGTGTGAGTCTCCGGGCACAGAGCAGTTAAGCCGAGCCTTCAGGAACGTGGTCCACTGTTTCTCTAGGACGCGCTGAGAGCCTCCTAGGTCAGACTTACATACACGGGCCACGCGGGACACCATCACCTACAAGCATAGAGAGAGAGAGGGGGCAAGATTGAACTAGCCTTTCCTGAAAGGAAGTTAGGAATAAGACTATCATGAAAGAAATTTGAGTTATATACTAAATCTATTCATAATTCAAGACACATACTGCGGGCTGCTTTCAATTGTACTGCTGGGATCTTGTGATAAAAGCCTAATGTTCTACTGACTTAAAGTATCATATAAGAAGGCCCTATTACTAAGATAAGACAAATATAAAAAGCTTCTTACAGCTGCACCCTGTTCTTTAAAGATTTACCACAGCAAATGATTTGCTGCAATTGCTGGGATATTGTAGCAATATCTTTCTGGCACAACATTCTATTTTTATCTGAAAGACTTTTTGTGTCCCCTGAACTCCCTGTATGAAAGAGAAGCTACCGGCTGCAACTGTGCCTGATACAATATTTTTGTTAGTGTAAAGTGATCTAAAATGACTCTTGATGAGTAATGTGAGGAAGTGTATGCTGGTCATACTCCGTACAGTATCTGATAGTTTGTTTTATATTTTAGATTTAGTTTTCAGTTTAGATTTGGGCTTGCACAATATAGTCTTTGATCATGGGGAAAAACTTTCAGCTTCTATCTTTAGGTTATGAACATTTTGCCATTTGACACCACTAAGGAAGAGCTTCTAATAATTAAATACAACTTGATAGAGCTGTCTTCTATTTAATGACTATGTGACTATGATTGATTTGTTGGTTAATTACCTTTTCCAGATGATGAAACTCCATGGCCATCTCTCTGAAGAAGAAGTAAATATGTGGCCCATACTCCATGGCACTCACAAAGTATGGCTCTGCAAGACAATTTTATCATTATTAGAAAATTCCCACACTTGTATTTATGCATTCACTGCAGAGGAGTGCACTGGGAGCAAAGTGCAAGGCTGTCATTGTAATAACACTGACATCAACATAGACCGCTGGCGTCCACTGGGTCTCATTAAATATACATGTGCTGTCTAATTTATCATAATGGACAAGAGGATACACATTATTTATCATTTATTCATCCTGATGTTCTTGACTTGACCTGTGTGGCTTGTTTTTCCACGGTGAAAGATAGGCTTGACTGAGAGACGTCCGACTAACCTCAATACATCATCTGTCCAAGAGTGCTCCATTTAGGAATTCATCAAGCAATCAACTCGTACTTTCTTCTACGGCCTTATTCTTAAGCCTTAAACCTTATCAGGAGTTTTTGCCATGAGAAAAAGAGGTCTAATTTTGAAGTACCTCGGAACCATTTGGAGTCATGTTTGACGGTGCGTAGGGCAGGACTGTCACCAAGGCTGCGATAGATCACAGCATCAATGGCTAAGAAGTCTGTCACGGTGCCGGTAAAGAGACTTCCATCTGAGACAGAAAAAGCACCCACGTACGAACATGCAGACAGGGAAGATTAAGAAGAAGGGATGGCGAGATAGCACAAGGTCAGGGAGATTAAAACCAAACAAGTGCCGCACCAAAGGGCCGCACCATAAATCACTGGTAAAGGTAAACACAAGGGCAGTCTGTACCTGCAAATAGAGCCACGTTAGCGTGTCTCGGATCATACGGGCAGCGTGCCATGCCACTCACAGGCTCACCCACCATTTCCAAAGTGTCTCTCTGCAACAGCAAGAAGTGCAAGCAAGTTCAGAAACTATTACAGTACTACCAAGATGATGGTCATTAACAAATGGAAGTGATAGTAAAAAAAAAGTGAGACTCAATATGTACAGCAACCAACAACTATTCAACTAGAAGAGCCCAAATCCATGTACTATAACATTGCTTTTAGTTTGTCTGTCTGTGCAGGGATGTTAAGATTATACAGTTAATTTATAACCACGATATTTGATGCCACAATATAATTCTAAGAACTAAAAAATAATAATTGTGACAATTTAAGAAGCAGAGATTTGGAAGTTTCAAACCTGCATGTAAAGCAGCGGTGTCCAACCTATCCTGTCCAACGTATCCAACCTACTTTGATCCCAAAGGGGCTGGATCAGAACACAGAAAATCGTGCACTCGGCGTCCACTTATCTAATTTTTGACATTTTGCTGATGAGGGTGTGACGGTCAACAGTCAAAATGATAGTCCTTTAAGAGCATTTGGAAAGAGGCAAATCTTCATTTGTGCCTGCTCTGGTGGGAGGAGGCCATGTACAGAGGCACTGGAGACGCTGCTATGCTAAGTGGCGCAGAAAATTACCAATATTTTAATAGAATATATATATATATATATATATATATATATATATATATATATATATATATATATATATATATATTATATATATATTTTATTTTTTTTTTTTTTTTTTTTTGTAGAAAATCAGCCCAGGGCCAGAATAAAGGTTTTGGAGGGCCATATGTTTAACACCCCTGATATAAAGGGCTCTTTTTATCTGATGCTTTGCATTAACTTTATCATTAGAAAATTTCATTTAATAAATCTTGTCGCAAACAAAAGGAATGGTAATATGTTAGACAATGTGAATGAAAGGAAATGTCAATAATAGGGGATCGTAAAATTTTGATATTTATTCTTACAGAAATGTCTCACCCCTGCTTTATAAATACAGAAATAACTTCTTTACAATGAAACAATAAATCATAACGTTATTGACTTAAATAAGATGCATATAACAGATCTACTTTCAGTTTGTACTTACAGTGTAATTTGCACAAAGAGGATTGAAGGCATTTGTTCCACACACAAACAGGCCGTCTGGCTGGCTGAGCAAAACCTTGATGAAATTGCGGCACTCGCCCTTCAGGAATGATAAACACCACAAATGAAGGATTAAAAACAAGCAGATAATTATTACTTGCACATAAAAAAGGGATGTTGTTAAGCTGTAAACTACCAGTTGGAGATAGCTAGACCACCAGGCCGAGGAATATGGCTTTAAACCACAATCCTTAGAGGAAATGGCATTATCAAGCACCCTCCCCATGCTGGAACAATAGGATACACACTTTATAGCTGGCTTCAAAGTGCAGAGTGAAGATTGAGGTGAATTTTAAAGCTGCTACCCGGGAACGTAAAAGTTGATGAGAGCTGTTGCCACGGTAATCCCTTTGTGGCTATATTTCAGCACAGTCTGATCATAGAGCTGCTGTCAGACAAGATGCTCAAACCTGGAGATATGCCTCAGTATTATAGATAAGATTCCCCCAAAGAATCACAGCAAATATTAAACCTCCCTTTAAATGCTTGCAAATATACCTGACAAAGCCCCATTTTCCCAAAGAATAATTTTTATCAGGATGAGGAGTGCTTTGCATAATTTTGATTTGCAGATCATTTGATTGTTCGACAAACGGTGGCAGAATAGTGCTCTTTTGTATTGCTGAATAATTCACGCAAAAATATGCCCGCGTTCATACCACAGGGCCTAATCAGGCATTAGCATTAAATGTATTTTAAATCACACTGAAGGAGAAAAACATTTTTCTTTCAAATGGGGAAATTTACTTCTGGTGCTATGGTTTAAATGATCGTTGTAATTTTTAAAGCTGTCATTTTGACTCGCTAATGCACCACAATCACATCCATAATCATTACATTTACAGGGACATTATTGGTGGTAACAGTTGATTCTTCTGACTTTTCACTGTTTTCTGTCATTGCTCTGCCTCAAGCCAAACTCCCACTCATTTTGTCCTTTTATTAAAATGTTATTTTCCCTTTCAATCATTTGATGTTATCTGTTCCTTTAAAGCTTCAGCTCTCCTGGTGTCCTCAGCCTGTTGGCTCCATCCACCTACACACATGTCCCTGCATTTAGCTCCTCTCCTCAAGTGATTTCAATTACTGTTTGCTCCCCAGGGCTGTGTCAGTCTCTTGGCTCAGTTTGCTCTCCAATGTTTTCTCATTGCTTCTTTTTCGCTTTTCAGTTTTTGTCTCAATTGGATTTGGCCGTTGGCACTGTGGCATTTATTCAACCAAGCCTATATATTTATAAGCTGTCAATCTTACCAGAATCAAATTGTACATTTTTTATCACATCCAGCTGGGGTCTAAACATGGTGACTGGAATAAAGGTGTGTAAGAGCAAGCTTCACAAACATTTCTGTGAGTTGCTGTGATTAGACAGTTTGATTTTGCACCAACAAGATCAAATTTGTGTAAATACCATATGAAGGTGAGCCCACAGGAAATAAGTTTCCTTCAACAGCTGTGGTGTCTGTCCAAGCGTGTGATAGTGTGGATATAGTTGGTGCATAAGAGTGACTTTGAAAGCGTCGTGTTTAATGTAATATACCTCATGTTTGCCCTTCATACGGCACACTCGAATGTCATTTTTATTGGATTCCCACGTCCGCTTCTGACAAAAAAATAAAAAATAAATAAAAATTATTGATATTATAATTTATATATTTATTGCCTTTCCTGGATATGAAAATGCCCTTACTTTGCTGTAGAACATTTCCTCCCCAGCCATGTTGTCCAGCTCAACTCTGTACAAGTCATCTCTGCCCAACACATGCAACACAAGAGTTGGTAATCCAATTTGTCCAAAAAACAACAAGTTAACATAGGCATGAAAGATAACTGAAACTTTGACAAAGTAAACTACCATACATAGATTTTTAATAATGAAAAATTATAATAACACAAATATGGATAAATATGAAATAGATAGTAGTTAATTTTCAACTTCTCTGCTTGTTGCTCTGCTCCAAACACTACAGTTGCTGCTGTTACCACTATAACTTTTTAATTTTTTTTACATTTAAGTACAGTCCAGCTTTGATATACCATACTACCAGTACTAAGGCCATAAGTACATAGCCAAATTTTTTTTACGCTTATTGAGCCACAATTATTTGGACACAGTAGCTCACACATCACAATATATTATAATAACAAAGAGCAAAAATATAAATTGTAATAATAATTTCAAAATAAGTAGCAATAGTAACAAGACTGGTGTCAAATAAGGCATAATTATATAAAAGCATATGTACATATAAGTGAAAATAAAAATATAGAAATATAGTAATCTATCAGCTATATACAAGTGGTATATTTAAAATGTTTCTATGCCTTCAAACTAATAATAATCAAGTGTAATTACTGAGCTGTAAATTAACAAAGCCAGATACCTAGAATGTTCCACTCATCTTCGTTATGTTAAAACTAACAACTATCTCTCTCTCTGTAGTGAGTGTGAACAAACAGCTTGACATTTAGGAACACATTTGAAACATCACTCTGACAACCATCATCTACAGAGTGACAGCAGATGGAAGCTGGGGCATAAAAAAGGAATATTAATGTGAAGACGTCAGTAACACACACAGTTGGAGGTGGTTGCCGTTGGTTACCTGGCTCCTATGTAGAGCGTGCGGTTGACTTGGAGAATGGTTTGGATGTGCAGCTCCTGCCTCTGAGCCGAACGGTGAGCCCTGCCCAGAAACACAGGGTACCTCCTCACCACTGAAGGATCAAAACAAGCAGAGAAATATAATCAGAGCAAGGAGTGTTGTCCTGAAGTGTGTCAGCTGAGGACAGAGAAAGGGCAGCTTCTATTTAGATCTGTATACTTTACAACATAGCTTTATCATCTCTGTTTCAGTGTGGAAAAGTGCCCAAAGTGAGGCCCGTAGGAAAAACAAGGAGTTTCATTTGATCTGTGAGGGGTACTGAGAATTGGGAAGTTTTTGTTTTTTTTCATTCAATTGTGCATTGAATATTGTTGCTGTCTAGAGCAGTTGCTGCTTTTTTATTTATTTTTTGTCTCAAGTGGCTTCTAAGTTTTGTATCACAATCCAAGTCCCTCCTAACAGTGGTAGTGGTATATTATCAATTATTTCTTTTACTTATTTGTTTTGATGTTGATGATTGCAAAAGTACTACAAAACCTTCTTAAAATATTTTTTGGTATTATTATTATTAGCAGTAGTATTTAGATTTTTCTTTTACTCTTCAAGTGTTGCCATTTTGGGCCACCAAGGACGAAAGAATCAACACAGTGTTGCATAGTGCACGTATTGGTTGCTTGGGTGGTGAGCTCATCATCATTTGGTCATTTAACTAAGAAATAAATAACCTGAAATTGCAACTGCAGTTTAATGTAATGAATCATTATTTGCCTTTACCACTAATGAGCAATAGACTTAAAAATACAAGGTAAAGTGTTTATCAGTGACTCTCTGCTGGATTTCAGCTACCTCAGTGCTTTACAATAGTTTAACATAAAAATGAATGGAAGCATCAGATTGTGCACTGTGAAGAAGTTTGAGATGACGGAGGACACTGGTCACCGCAGGGAGTCCTTGTCGCCAGGAGACAGATTGTGAAACAGTCTTGTTGTCCTTGACTGTAGGGGAGGCATGGAGGAGCGCAGTTATCCATCTCTACCTGTCTCCTCCCCTTCCCATCTCCACCCTCAGCCCTGTCGTTTGTCATCCGCACCACCCCATCCCATCTAATTGTCTCTGCATCTCCCTCGCAGACATCCACAGTCAAAATTTGCACTTTCTCATTTCCTTATTCAAAAAATCTAGCACACACTGAAGACTCTGATCAGATGTTATTTTAGTATTCTAGCTCTGAGCCCATCTCCCCACACCCGGGCTCTGACCCTTGACCCCTGATTTCCACTTCTAGCACAGAGCCATTTATCAACTCCGCACGAACACACATTTAAAGAGAGAAGGACACACATACCCTCCACAGGGACGTAGCTGAGCGGACTGGGTTCCTCTGGGAATGAGCCGTCAGCCATTTGAAGTAGCAGAAGAAGAAACGTGAGGGGAGGAGTCACGGTCGCCATGGCAGCAGGACACATTCTCTGATCAAAAGGAGAAAGTCATAATTCACTGTGTGTAGTATTTGAATATGCATTTGAATATGATAGTATACAGTATGTATTGACTATTTGACAGGTTTCTTTATGTGGATGTGACAGGGTCAGCAGAGCAGCAGGGTGGCTATCGGCGCCTCAAAAGAGAGACAATGAGTTCCTATTCTCTACACACTGGTGAAAGGGTGATGTATTGTTGAAAATGTCACTCCATTGTAAAACTGTGTGAACTAAAAGGTCTCAAAACTATTTACCACACAGAGAGGCCGAGCATTCACCAGGTTACAAAGAGGTTTGGGTTTCCCCCCCCCCAATTGATTGGCTATATTATGGGCAATTAGATTTTAAAAGCAGGAGGTGTTCCCTTAAGATGAGAGACTGAGGGAAGAGAAAGAACAAAAACTTGGAGCAGATGGACAATGTTATTGTTGTGTTTAGTGGTTAACAAAGCTCTCAATCAAGCATATCCAAAGTATAGCGCAGAGTGCCATTAAGATAATGTTTGAGTCCAAAATGTGCTGTTTATGGACCGAGCCCTAGTAGCAGAATCGCCAAAGCACAGTTTTGTAATGCAATTTCGTAGTCCACTATCTCTTCTGGCAATAGAAAGAGAGAAATGAAAAGAATTGATGTCTTTGGCAGCATTTTGGAAAATAGCATCTCATATAAGGGAGCTTTTGTGCCCACAATTGGTTTACTGGACAAATAAAATGTCTGCGAAAAGTGTTTGCGGTCAGATTATAAAATAAAATTTATATCTTTAGCACTAACACATCAATACATGATGCAACTGCAGCTTTATGGAAAAAATATATAATTGTGATTTTTCTGACCAAGCATTGTGATTAGACTTGCGATTTATGTTTTAAAAATCTGATTCTAATCAAAGTTCCCCTTATTTATTATTATTATTTATTTATTTGAGACAGGGACAGCGCACAATTTTCACATTAACCTTGACAGGAAAGATGCATTGTACATCAGGTTGTAGCATCAGTGCTAATTTCCACCTGTAGTCAGGTGGTAGACAGGTTCATTGATTGATTGTATTTAACTGACCTTGACTATCAACTGTTCTGGAGACCTGTAGGATGTTTTGGGTTGATGGGGGAAACCAGAGCACCCGGAGGAAACCCATCCAGATACGGGGAGAAACATGCAAACTCCATACAGAAAGGCCCTGGGTGACCTGGGGATCGAGCCCAGATCTAGCCACTCACCACCGTGCTGAATGAGTATTGACAATATGTTTGGAATAGGCCTAACCAATTAATATTTTAAGAATTACAAGTACTGAGCTAAACTAGTAGTAGTTTTATGCAAAATAAAACATTTTTTGTTGTTCATGGAGGAAATTAGTTTACCAGTAGTTTATTTGTCACATACACAAATGCACACAGTATAGTGTCTAGTGAAATTCTTGTACCACCCAGCAACATAAAAACAGACAGTTACTACGTTACTTCAAGTACAATTATGCTACTTAAATAATTAAAACAGGCTTTGATTCAGTTATTTTTGCAACGGTAATACAATACAAACTGTATATGAACTTAAGAACAATTGAAACACATGTTCAAAATGTTGAAGCTTTCCGCCTAAATCCTGTGAGATAGCTCGGTGGCTTGCTCATCTTTGATGTGAGGATAAGCCAAAAAAAAGTGTTACAAAAGAGAGGAGATGAGAGGAACCATAAGGGCGGAGTACTCTGGCATTCGGTCTCTACAAACTAATATGATCTTCAATGGGGAATAAATGAGAAGAAAGGTTACAAATTGACCAAAGAGTGTGAGTAGTATGAATGCTGTTGCTATTATCCTGAAACCATGTTCACTTCCCCCAACCCCCTCCCTCTCCCTTTCATCCACCACTCTCCATTAAGCCACCAGCACCTTTATTCATTCCTCTTTCTATCTGCCTGTCATTTCACAATATAAAAACACTGTAATTTTAATGTATTGGGTGTTGTGGTAGTTGCTAAGGTGATGAGAACTGGTATTTTGGTACACAGCACTGTATTGTGAAAATTCACCTGCATTGCCCATGATGTATGCATATAAACTGAAGTGTGAGGGTCTGTTTAAAGACATCAGAGGCGTCAGACTATACTTAGGGGATGCTTCAAATGAAATGCTTGCCTACAGATTGCAGGTTTGACACATCTAAGCAGCTTTTCTCATCAAATGCTTCAGAAGAGGCAGAAAAGGCAGGGTGGGGCTGACTTTTGATTCATCTGAGTACCTAATGTTAATTCTCCAAACTAGATGTATAGGCTACTGGAGAAAATTTTAAAAATATATTTTACACAAGATGTTTTGTTTAACAGAGTACTATAGAAGCTGTTTTCTTTTTCAAGGCCCTGCAAATATTGAGATAGTTTAATAGTGGCTCGTACTTTTGAAGAACTTGGGCCTATTTGTATCAGTCAGCAGTAGTATTATTGCATAGATTTACCTATAGAACAATAATCTCAAATTAGTAATGTAATCATGAAGATATCACTGTTGCCTGCATTGCTTTTCCACTACTTTACAGTATAATCTGGAATCATGTCCTGTCTTCACAAATTCTGATGGCCGCAAACAAACTTAACACTGAAAAGAAAGAAAATGAATAACAGATAAATAAGAAATTTTTTGGACTGAATTATATTCAAAAATGTACTGTGTTCAAGCCTATCCAGATCTATTTTAAAGCAATTAGTTTTTGTTGTGTTCTACTTATTGTTCACATTTTAAACTGCACACCAGAAAGTTGATAAAAATGAAAACAATGTAGTAGCCCTATTTAGCTAAGTATGTAGTAAATATGTTATTCACCTAAAAACAAGGGTGCAATCTTATTTTCTTGTATTCATTCATTTAGGGTATATGTGTTGGATATTGACTTCCCAGTTAGTGTTTATATTTGTACACATCTTCAGTAACAGCTCTCTATAATACAGTATATAGAGCCCATCAATTACATTTAATTTTTCTGCATGCACAAGATGAAATTAAGCAAATACCTAGGCATGAATTTTAGTAACCTTCACCTAAGCAGATATCCAAACCCCAGGGCCAATCATTAATGCAACCTCCTCATTAGAGCACATATTGATTAAGATTATTGATTCAAAAGATAAACCATGAAATCTGGACCAAGGCTTGACATATGAGAACTCTGCTGCTGACCAATCTCATGACAAGAGCAGTATTTTTAAAGCCCTTAGTTATAATGGGAGGTTCAAGGTTTTCTCTGCGTTAAAACTGCAGAAATCAAAGGTTGTGCGATTTCCCACAAGACACAATCGAGGATAAAAGATGAGGCTGAAGAGACAGGAGCTCATCAAGCTTTAAAAATAGGCTCATGGTTTCTGAAAGAGGGCTACAAAATTAGGCAAATGGAGACAGGATTCTGATTTGTGTCTGCTTGTAATGGTGTGATTGGATTAGATGGTGTGACACGGATATTATGGGATGTAACTGACAGACCTGTGCTGCAATCTGGGCTCATCAAGTATCCATTAGCAAAGCATCTTCTAACATGCACGTCATTAACCAATCAGTGGGTCATCTAGAGGTATAATTATATATATATACTTATACCTTCATTGTGTCCATATGTTGTATTACATATAGGGTCAAAACCCATATAAGTATGCAATGCTACACAAAGATAAGTATGTGTGTATATATATATATATATATATATATATATATATATATATATATATACACACACACACACACATACATATACACACATATATATACATATATATACATACATACATATATATACATATATACATATATGTATATATACATATATGTATATATATATATATATATATATATATATATATATATATATATATATATATATATATATATATATATATATATATATATATATATATATATATATATATTCTAAACAGAGAACTTAGTTTGTAGCATTTGCTTATAATTGCACACAATACATGAATTACTACAGTTAACATCCAAGATCAATGCACTAAAAAGAGACACAAAATAACATTAGCATCATTATCCACCATATGGGCTAATGAGGGAAAAGTAAATACTACAAAAAAAACATGCTACAACTATACAAATAGAACTATACAAAAGAATAGATACGGCTAAATTGTCTTTTTACATAAATCAGTGACAGTGCCTTGTTAAAACTAGTTATAAGAATTTACTAACCTACATCCCTGCCATATTACTATTGATTAAACTGCATTCATATTACATTTACTGAATCAATGTACATTTTAATCAATAATAAATTCTGACAATGACAGTATTTATTATTGACTTTTCCCTTAACTTAACGATATGCATGGCCGCCTCTAAGTCTTTTCAATTTTGACATTAATTGTGTTTCAATATGAGTAAATTATTCTGTTATACTGAACCTGCAATGCTATGTCATTACTTTTCAATAAAATGCTTCATAAGAGGTCTTAATCATATAGTCTTCACTTGGCTTGTCACGATAACTAATTTAAATTATAATAATGAACCCAAAACATAAAGCAGAATTATCTCCCATAAAAGTATTCTAAATGTGTAATGTGGTTAAAAATATGAGATGCAATACATAGCAGAATGCAACACTTTAGTAGTTAGTTTGTGCCTATAATGAGTCATAAAAGTTCATAATTCGACACTCTACAGCTCAAATCTCATCGTAGTACAGAAAAAATAATCACAATTTCCCCATTAGTACAAAGAAAATGTCCCCATGATAAATATTGACCCCCCAAAATTATTGTTCCATCTGTCATGTATTGCACAATAACTTGATATAGTAATTATCATGACAAGCCTAGACTTCACACCCCGCATCTTTTACAGCGCAGGCAATAACAGCGCAAAAATACTGCCCTTGCATTTCTAAAAAGTTGTATTTAGTGCGTTCATATTGACATCTCCCTCATCGTCGTACTGTCACCGTGATCAGGACTCGTTCACTGACTCCCCATTACTGTTTAG